CAAACGCTATGCCCTCGTTTTTGTTTTTTTTTTGCACACGCTAGGCCCTTCTTCTTGCAATTTTGCACATGCTAGACCCTTGTTCGTTATATTTTGCACACGCTAGGCCCTTGTTCTTGCTATTTTACGAACGCAAGGCCCTTGTTCTTGATTTTTTGCACACAATAGGCCCTTCCTATTGCTATTTTGCACTCGCTAGGCCCTTGTTCTTGCAATTTTGCACACGCTAGGCCCTTGTTCTTGCAATTTTGCACACGCTAGGCCCTTGTTCTTTTTATTTTGCACACGCTAGGCCCTTGTTCTTGCTGTTTTGCACACGCTATGCCTTTGTTCTTTTTATTTTGCACACGCTAGGCCCTTGTTCTTGCAATTTTGCAACGCTAGGCCCTTGTTCTTTTTATTTTGCACACGATAGGCCCTTGGTCTTTTGATTTTGCACACGCTAGGCCCTTAATCTTGCTATTTTGCAAACGCTATGCCCTCGTTCTTTTTTTTTTGCACACGCTAGGCCCTTGTATTTGCAATTTTGCACATGCTAGACCCTTGTTCGTTATATTTTGCACACGCTAGGCCCTTGTTCTTGCTATTTTACGAACGCAAGGCCCTTGTTCTTGATTTTTTGCACTCGCTAGGCCCTTCCTGTTGCAATTTTGCACTCGCTAGGCCCTTGTTCTTGCAATTTTGCACACGCTAGGCCCTTGTTCTTGCAATTTTGCACACGCTAGGCCCTTGTTCTTTTTTTTTTGCACACGCTAGGCCCTTGTTCATTTTATTTTGCACACGCTAGGCCCTTGTTCTTGCTATTTTGCACACGCTATGCCCTTGTTCTTTTTATTTGCACACGCTAGGCCCTTGTTCTTGCAATTTTTCAACGCTAGGCCCTTAATCTTTTTATTTTGCACAAGCTAGGCCCTTGTTCTTTTTATTTTGCACACACTAGGCCCTTGTTCTTGCTATTTTGCAAACGCTATGCCCTCGTTCTTTTTTTTTTGCACCCGCTAGGCCCATGTTTTTGCAATTTTGCACATGCTATACCCTTGTTTATTATATTTTGCACACGCTAGGCCCTTGTTCTTGCTATTTTGCAAACACTATGCCGTTGTTCTTTTTTTTTTGCACACGCTAGGCCCTTGTTCTTGCTATTTCACGAGCGCTAGGCCCTTGTTCTTGATTTTTCGCACACGCTAGGCCCTTCTTCTTGGTATTTTGCACTCGCTAGGCCCTTGTTCTTGCAATTTTGCACACGCTAGGCCCTTGTTCTTGAAATTTTGCACACGCTAGGCCCTTGTTCTTGCTATTTCACGAGCGCTAGGCCCTTGTTCTTGATTTTTCGCACACGCTAGGCCCTTCTTCTTGGTATTTTGCACTCGCTAGGCCCTTGTTCTTGCAATTTTGCACACGCTAGGCCCTTGTTCTTCAAATTTTGCACACGCTAGGCCCTTGTTCTTTATATTTTGCACACGCTAGGCCCTTGTTCGTTTTATTTTGCACACGCTAGACCCTTGTTCTTGCTATTTTGCACACGCTGTGCCCTTGTTCTTTTTATTTTGCACACGCTAGGCCCTTGTTCTTGCAATTTTTCAACGCTAGGCCCTTAATCTTTTTATTTTGCACACGCTAGGCCCTTGTTCTTTTTATTTTGCACAAGCTAGGCCCTTGTTCTTGCTATTTTGCAAACGCTATGCCCTCGTTTTTTTTTTTTTTGCACACGCTAGGCCCATGTTCTTGCAATTTTGCACATGCTAGACCCTTGTTCATTATATTTTGCACACGCTAGGCCCTTGTTCTTGCTATTTTGCAAACACTATGCCCTCGTTCTTTTTTTTTTTGCACACGCTAGGCCCTTGTTCTTGCAATTTTGTGAGAAAGTACGAACGAGAAGTGGAATGACTATGAACGAAGTGAGTACAAATAGGAAACCCTAATTGGGTTGTACCCCCTATGGGATACCCCACTATAGCCTACAGAAACAAATAAGCTATAAGTTCTGACACACCCCCATAGGCAAAGTGGGGGAGAACAAGGGGTCACAAGACCGGTCAAGCAAAGCAAAGCAAAGCTCAGGGTGGATCACAAAGTCACCACGCATTCCGAGCACAAGTTCAAAGGCCACAAGGCCAGTTCACATGCAAGATCATATATAGAGATATACAAGAGCAAGAGTATATATATGCGAAAGTACAAGCAAGGTCAAGAGGAGAGCAAGTGAGGCAAGACAGGCACAAGACCCAACTGCGTGCAGCAACGCTGATGATCACAAGGCGCAAGTGCCTTGGTGAAGACATCAGCAGTGTTGGCCTCAGAGGCCACGTACGCAAGTCGCAGCTGTCCACGCTGCTGTAGCTCACGAGCAAGAAAGTAGCGAAGAGCAATGTGCTTCGTTCTGTGCTCCAGTCGCTGCTCTCGACACAAGGCCAGCATGGCCTTGTTGTCTACGTACAGGACTGGAGGAGAACGAGGCTGCTCTCCAAGGTCGGTCAGCAGGTAGGTGAGCCAGCGTAACTCCTGTGCAGCCATAGCCCCAGCGTAGATCTCAGCCTCACAACTGGAGCCGAGAACAGAAGACGAGCGGGTAGCCCGCCACGAGACAGAGCCGGAACCAAGGCTGAAGGTGTAACCCTGTGACGACCGCTGCGTAGCCTGGTCGTCAGCCCAAGAAGCGTCTGCGTGCCCAGTGAGGACCACTGGACTGCGCCCTCCAAGCACTAGCCCCATGCCCGACGTACTGCACAAGTAGCGCAACACCCTCTTCGCTGCAGCCATGTGCTCTGGTCGGTGTCTCCCAGGAGCAACAAAGCGTGCGAGAATGCTAAGAGGGTATGCGAGGTCAGGTCGTGTGCAGGTCATCAGGTACATGAGGCAGCCAACAAGCTCTGGGTACGGGCCACTCGACTCTACGGACTCATCCGAAGGCAGAGCTGAGAGCGAGTGGCGAGTAGGCAGAGGAGTGGCCTGAGGCGAGGAGTACGTGAAGCCGAAGCGCTGAAGGACCTGCTGCACCATGTGTGACTGAGTCAGGGTAATGGTGCGGCGTGCTCTGTCCCGGGTGATCTGCAAGCCAAGGTAGCTGCGCAGTTCACCCAGGTCAGTGCACGTGTGTCTCTTCTGCAGCTCGGACTTCACGTAGGCGAGTCCAGCAGTGTCAGCTGTGGCAAAGACCAAGTCGTCGACGTACACGAGGATGTAGAACGGCGGCAGAGAGGTGTCGGTGCGCAGAAACAGCGACGGGTCGGCAGTGGAAGGAGCAAACCCAAGTGCCGCGAGCGTAGTCCTCAGTGTGTCGTGCCACTCACGTGGCGCCTGGCGGAGACCGTAGACTGGACGCCGGAGACTCCACTGGGTACCAGGAGGGAAAGACCCAGTGAAGCCAGGTGGGCGACGCAGCCAGATCTCCTCGTGCAGGCTGCCCTGCAAGAAAGCTGTGCTGAAGTCGAGAGAGTGCAGCTCGTAGTCACGGTGAGCAGCAACGTGTAGCAGAACCCGAAGAGTGGTCATCTTCGGGGTGGGGGAGAAGGTCTGAAAGTAGTCAACCCCCTGCCGCTGACTGAAGCCACGAGCCACGTAACGCGCCTTGAAGACAGGCGGAGAACCCGGCGGCCGCTTCACCCTGAAAATCCACATGCCACTGACGATGTTTGCCCCAGGAGGGGGAACAGCGTCAACGTAGGTGCCTGTGGACTTCCAGGAAGCCATCTCTGCATCCATAGCTGCCTGCCACTGAGAGGAGTAGGGACCCTCTATCGCCTCCGCGTAAGAGCGCGGAGTCGGGATGTCTGGTGCATCCGGGTCTCCCTCAGGGGCTAGCAGTACAGACGCGAGATGAGGTGAAGCGGCGGCCAGACACTGGAACTCCTCCTGCCTGTCCTCAAGGACGTCCGTGCCAAGGGCACACTCACCCCCGACGGACGGAGGACAGGCGGACTCAGACTCAGTGACAAGACGAGCAGCGTAATCTAGACGACAGCGCGCAGCAAAGTCGACAAGCTCAGTGACAAGGGCAGACGCAGCAGACGACTCGAAGGAGGGGTCAGTGACAGCAGCAGCCAGGAGACGCGTGACAGTAGGACTGGCAGCACGAAGAGCGTCCGACTCCGGGTCGGCAAGAGCAGGAAGAGAGGAAGCAGGAGGAGAAGGCAAAGGGGCACGCAGAGGAGCAGTGGACGGACGCAGTGACATCCGGTGCGTGCCAGGGACAGGAGGAGGACGCTGACGCGACCCGCGACCACTAGCGCGCTCAGTACGAACAGGCGACACAGGACGAGACGCAGGCTCACGACGCTCAGTAAGACCTCCAGTCGGACCAGCGTAGGGAGAAGGAGCAGGCAAAGGGGAGGCAGGCTGTAGCTGTGGCTGTGACCGGACAGGCTGCGGACCCTCTAAGGGAGGAGGAGGAGGTGTAAGACCAAGAACCTGCTGCAGGAGCGGAACGAAGTACGGTCGGGGCCGCGCGGCGACGCTAGAAACAGCGGGAACAGCACCAGCAGCCCCGGCAGGAGCACCCACTCCAGCAGCACCTCCAGCAGCACCACCAGAAGCTCCAGAACCTCCAGCCGCAGCACCAGGAGCACTGTCAGTCGGGCCGCCAACGGCAGGCTCAGCGCCAACACCCTCAGCAGGACCAGCTCCAGGAGAACTCTCAGACTCAGCAGCTCCAGCACCCACAGTACGAGCACCGGCGGGGCGCGCAGCAGCAGTGCCCTCTGTAGTCGAAGAACCACCAGCACCAGCAGCACGCCTCCAGCGCCCGGCAAACCACTCACGCAGCTCCTGTGGGGAGAGTGGCTCCCGGCGAGACGAAGCACTCCCAGGCACAGCACCCCCGGGCTCAGCACCCCTAGACACAGCACCTCCAGGCACGGCACCCCCAGGCTCAGCACCCCCAGGCCCAGTACCCCCAGACTCGGCACCTCCAGGCTCAGCACCCCTAGGCACAGCACCCCCAGGCTCAGCACCCGCAGCAGCACCAGAGTCACCAGTGACCTCGACAGGCTCGACCGCGTCTACCTGGGACACACCTGAAGGGGCAGGACCCTGAGGGGGGAGGGGGACTACCGGGGGGGGACCTGGTACCAAGAAGAGCGGGGGTGGGGGGAGGGACGGAGTGCGGTAGGGGAAGAGGCGGTAGTAGGGCACCGACTCGTCGAACGTGACGTCCTGGGAGGACAGAACACGTCGAGAGGTGGGGTGGTAAAACTGCCACCCAGGGGCGTCGGGGGGGAACCCCAGGAAGACGCAGGGAGAAGCACGAGGGGACAGCTTGTCCGCAGACAGGTCGCGAACAAACGCCCGAGATCCCCAGACCCGGAACGCCGACGCATCGCCAACCTTCCCCGTCCAAAGCAGGGCTGGGGAGGTCTCCGGTCGAGAGACCCTGGGGTGGAGGTTGATCTGGTGCGCAGCGTACCTGACCGCAAACGGCCACAGAAAATGGGGAGCAGCCGCATGCATCATGGACGTACGAGCGACGTCCATGACCATGCCAATGCGGCGCTCAGCAATCCCATTTTGCTGCGGTGAGTCCGGAAGCGTGAAGGTCTGACGGATGCCTCGCACACGATAGTAGGCACTCAGGAGGCCGGAGGAGAACTCTCCACCTCTGTCCGAGTGCAGACGCAAAACAGGGAAGTCAGAGCCAAAGCTCCTCCGAAGCTGGAGACGAGCTGCGCGGATCCAGTCGATCAGCACCTCAGTGACCTCACCCTTGCTGCGCAAGGGGAAGACTGTGGTGTAACGCGAGTAGTCGTCAACCACCAGCAGGAAGTAGCGCTCCTGACCCTGTCCACGGACGCGGGCTGGGCCCCACACGTCCATGTGAAGCGTCTGCAACGGGGCCTCTGTGGGAGGAAACTGGGAGGAGTGAGGGGCAGCACGCTGGCGCCCCTCGACACAGGGGACACAGGTGGGGCCAGGGCCCGGAGGAAGGGGAGGGAGAGACCGGGGAAGACCAGACACAAGGACTCGCGAGGCCATGCCTCTGAGCCGAAGCAGAGAGGGGTGGCCAAGGCGGTGGTGCCAGAGGAGGGTCTCGTGAGACAGACGACGACACGAGCAGGGGGCAGACTCAGGACCAGACCTGGACGCTGCAGCAAACACCTGACCAGACGAAGGGACCCTACCAGACTCAGCACCTGGAGGAGAAGCAGTGGTCAGTGTGTACAGGCTCGACCCTGGCCGACGTGTAAACGTAGCCAGGTGGCGACCTGTATCCTCCTCCGTGCAGTGGGTCACCCGCTGACGAGCAGGGGTGAACTGGTGGACACCCGCATCCTGGAGGTCAGCACCACTCACCAAGTTCGTCGAGAACGAGGGGAGGTAGAGACCAGTCAGGGTGCCAGAGGGGGCCGCCGGACACGGGAGGACAGTGGAGAAGCGAGCCAGGACCGGCCCCCCAGAGGGGTCAGCCAGGGACACTGCAACCGGCCGACTCAGCGGCGTGAGAGTGGTGCGGTCCCTAAAGAAGGAGCGAGACGCTCCAGAGTCAAGGGTGAAGGTGTGAGAGGCCGAAGCCGACACAGTACCTGAGAGGGCAGACTCACCAGCACCTGAGAGCACAGACGCACTGGCACCTAGAGCAGCAGCCTCACTAGTACCTGACGCGGCAGTACCAATGCCCGGGTCGGGCGGGAAACACCGGTAACAGTCATCCTCATCACTACCAGTCACAGCATACATAGCAGAGAGAATAGCATCAAAGTCAAGATCATAAATAGCTACTCCAGCCCTAGACAGCTCTCCCCAGCGGGGGATCTCAGCGGCCTCCGGAAACTGCTGACGCCAGGCGTCGGTCAGACGGCCAAAGCAGCGACGGGCTGTGTGGGCGCCTCCACACCTCTCCCCCCCGCACGGTCACCGGTGCGAAGAACGTAGGGGCAGGGACCAAGAGCACCACCGCGCTGACGCTGCAAGTACCACTCACGGAGCTGCTGAGGGCCGGGGACGGTGCGAGAGCGCTGCTGCTGCTGCGGCTGCTGCTGCTGCTGCTGCTGCTGCTGCTGCTGGCGCTGACCACCCCCAGAGCTGCTCCTCTGGGACGAGCCACTCCGACCCCCGCCTCCACCACCACCCCCGCCTCCACCGCCACCCCCGTCTCCACCGCCACCTCCCCCACCAGGACCGTCGCTCCCACCGCTCCCACCGCCTCCTCCGCTACCACCTCCGCCGCCACCTCCGCCTCCACCGCCGCCACTAGTACCTCCACTCCCGCCACCACCTCCACCGCCACCCCCACTCCCCCCGCCACCCCCACCTCCTCCGCCACTGCCTCCTCTAGATCCACCCGCTCCCTTGCCCCCCTTGCCCTTGCCAGAGCGGCGTCTGCCGCTGGGGGCAGACGCCGCACCGACCGACTCAAAACCAGCGAGGTCGGCCGTAGCAGCAGAGGCGACAGAGGGCAGCAGGGGGGAAGGAGAACACCCCTCAAAGATGGGGGTGCGAGGGTCACCCCTAGAGGCCCCTACAGCGACTATACTCTTCTCAGCCGCTAGCAGGGACTCCTCAAGGAGGTCGACAGTGAGGGTGGTGGGACAGACAGAGAGAAACTGGTCCCTAACGACACGAAGGGACTCAGGAAGACGGGTGACGAGAAAGTAGAGAGTGATATACATGGGAGGAGGGTTTGCGGCGCGGAACTCAGCAGGAAGGGCAGCGCGGTAGCGAGCGTCACTAGCGCGGAGGTGGGTAACGAGGTCAGCGACAGTGGGAAAGGAAGCGAGGTCAGGGAAGAGAAACGGTAGCATGAGGCGGCTAAGGGCAGCGGAGGAAGGGGAGGAGTAGCGTGCAACTACAGCGTCGTACAAGGCCTGAGCGGTCTTGCACTGACTAAAGTGGGCACGCTCAGAGGAAGGGAGGTGGCGACGCACAGCAAGACGTGCAGCAGCATCGCGGGTCGCCCACTTGGAGCGAACGGCAGAGTCAGCATCAGCAGGCGGGGCAGGGACAGCTCCAGAGACAAAGTCAAAGAGAGAGACCTCATCTATCGCATCACACAGTAAGTACAGCTGCAGGTCTTCAATCCAGACGGCAAAGTCAATGGCCCTCCCCTCAGCGTCAAAAGTAAGAACATTGGGGGTGGCCATGGCAGCAGCTGAAAGTCTCACCGGGCTGGAAGAGTCGGGTAGGTCCGCAGCAGAGGAACACAGCTCAGGGACAGCAGCACGGCTCCTCAGGTGGCTCGCGTGGCTCAGGCGGCTCGGGCGGCTCGGGCGGCTCGGGCGGCTCGGGCGACTCGGGCGGCTCGGGCGTCTCGCGCGGCTCGGGTGGCGTAGGGGCTCACGGGCGGCGCGGGCTGCTGGGGCTGCTCACGTGCAGCACGGCGGGCTGCAGCAGGGCCGGTGGTGGGCTGTAGCAGGGCCGGTGGCGGGCTGTAGCAGGGCCGGCGGCGGGCTGTAGCAGGGCCGGCGGCGGGCTGTAGCAGGGGCCGGTGGCGGCTGTAGCAGGGCCGGTGGTGGGCTGTTGCAGGGGCCGGTGGCGGCTGTAGCAGGGCCGGTGGCGGGCTGTAGCAGGGCCGGCGGCGGGCTGTAGCAGGGGCCGATGCGGGCTGTAGTGGGGCCGGTGAGGGGCCGAAGTGGGGCCTAGGCGGGCCGGCGGGCTGTAGGCGGGGCCGACGCGGCGGGCTGTAGCAGGGGCCGGTGGCGGGCCTAAGCGGGGTCAGCGCGGGGCCGACAGGGCGTAGGTGGGGCCGGCGCGGGGCCGAAGAGGGGCCTAAGCGGGGCCGACGGAGCCTACGCGGGGCCGACACGGGGCCGAGACGGGGCCTGGGCGGGGCCTACGCGGGGCCGACGAGGGGTACGCGGGGTCGACGAGGGGTACGCGGGGCCTACGCGGGGCCGACGAGGGGTACGCGGGGCCTACGCGGGGCCTACGTGGGGCCGACGAGGGGTACGCGGGGCCTACGCGGGGCCGACGAGGGGTACGCGGGGCCGACGAGGGGTACGCGGGGCCGACGAGGGGTACGTGGGGCCTACGCGGGGCCTACGAGGGGTACGCGGGGCCGACGAGGGGCCTAAGCAGGGGCCGACGAGGGGCCTAAGCGGAGCCGACGAGGGGCCTAAGCGGGGCCGACGAGGGGCCTAAGCGGGGCCGAAGAGGGGCCTAAGCGGGGGCCGACGAGGGGCCTAAGCGGGAGCACGACGGGAGGGGCGACTCGGAGGGTCGCTAAAAAAAAATGCGCGCCTCGGGGCGCGCTTCGGTGGGCCCTAGGAACAGGCCCTAGGAAGGGACCTGCTCTGATTCCATGAGAAAGTACGAACGAGAAGTGGAATGACTAAGAACGAAGTGAGTACAAATAGGAAACCCTAATTGGGTTGTACCCCCTATGGGATACCCCACTATAGCCTACAGAAACAAATAAGCTATAAGTTCTGACATTTTGCACATGCTAGACCCTTGTTCGTTATATTTAGCACACGCTAGGCCCTTGTTCTTGCTATTTCACGAACGCTAGGCCCTTGTTCTTGATTTTTCGCACACGCTAGGCCCTTGGTCTTGCTATTTTGCACTCGCTAGGCCCTTGTTCTTGCAATTTTGCACACGCTAGGCCCTTGTTCTTGCAATTTTGCACACGCTAGGCCCTTGTTCTTTTTATTTTGCACACGCTAGGCCCTTGTTCTTTTTATTTTGCACACGCTAGGCCCTTGTTCTTGCAATTTTGCACATGCTAGACCCTTGTTCTTTTTATTTTGCACACGCTAGGCCCTTGCTCTTGCTATTTTGCGAACGCTATGCCCTTGTTCTTGATTTTTTGCACACGCTAGGCCCTTGTTCTTGCAATTTTTCAACGCTAGGCCCTTAATCTTTTTATTTTGCACAAGCTAGGCCCTTGTTCTTTTTATTTTGCACACGCTAGGCCCTTAATCTTGCTATTTTGCAAACGCTATGCCCTCGTTCTTTTTTTTTTGCACCCGCTAGGCCCATGTTCTTGCAATTTTGCACATGCTATACCCTTGTTTATTATATTCTGCACACGCTAGGCCCTTGTTCTTGCTATTTTGCAAACACTATGCCCTTGTTCTTTTTTTTTTGCACACGCTAGGCCCTTGTTCTTGCTATTTCACGAGCGCTAGGCCCTTGTTCTTGATTTTTCGCACACGCTAGGCCCTTCTTCTTGGTATTTTGCACTCGCTAGGCCCTTGTTCTTGCAATTTTGCACACGCTAGGCCCTTGTTCTTGAAATTTTGCACACGCTAGGCCCTTGTTCTTTATATTTTGCACACGCTAGGCCCTTGTTCGTTTTATTTTGCACACGCTAGGCCCTTGTTCTTGCTATTTTTCACACGCTGTGCCCTTGTTCTTTTTATTTTGCACACGCTAGGCCCTTGTTCTTGCAATTTTTCAACGCTAGGCCCTTAATCTTTTTATTTTGCACACGCTAGGCCCTTGTTCTTTTTATTTTGCACACGCTAGGCCCTTGTTCTTGCTATTTTGCAAACGCTATGCCCTCGTTTTTTTTTTTTTTTGCACACGCTAGGCCCATGTTCTTGCAATTTTGCACATGCTAGACCCTTGTTCATTATATTTTGCACACGCTAGGCCCTTGTTCTTGCTATTTTGCAAACACTATGCCCTCGTTCTTTTTTTTTTTGCACACGCTAGGCCCTTGTTCTTGCAATTTTGCACATGCTAGACCCTTGTTCGTTATATTTAGCACACGCTAGGCCCTTGTTCTTGCTATTTCACGAACGCTAGGCCCTTGTTCTTGATTTTTCGCACACGCTAGGCCCTTGGTCTTGCTATTTTGCACTCGCTAGGCCCTTGTTCTTGCAATTTTGCACACGCTAGGCCCTTGTTCTTGCAATTTTGCACACGCTAGGCCCTTGTTCTTTTTATTTTGCACACGCTAGGCCCTTGTTCTTTTTATTTTGCACACGCTAGGCCCTTGTTCTTGCAATTTTGCACATGCTAGACCCTTGTTCTTTTTATTTTGCACACGCTAGGCCCTTGCTCTTGCTATTTTGCGAACGCTAGGCCCTTGTTCTTGATTTTTTGCACACGCTAGGCCCTTGCTCTTGCTATTTTGCACTCGCTAGGCCCTTGTTCTTGCAATTTTGCATATGCTAAGCCCTTGTTCTTGCAATTTTGCACACGCTAGGCCCTTGTTCTTTTTATTTTGCACACGCTAGGCCCTTGTTCTTTTTATTTTGCACACGCTAGGCCCTTGTTCTTGCTATTTTGCACACGCTATGCCCTTGTTCTTTTTATTTTGCACACGCTAGGCCCTTGTTCTTGCAATTTTGCACATGCTAGACCCTTGTTCTTTTTATTTAGCACACGCTAGGCCCTTGTTCTTGCTATTTCACGAACGCTAGGCCCTTGTTCTTGATTTTTCGCACACGCTAGGCCCTTCTTCTTGGTATTTTGCACTCGCTAGGCCCTTGTTCTTGAAATTTTGCACACGCTAGGCCCTTGTTCTTTATATTTTGCACACGCTATGCCCTTGTTCGTTTTATTTTGCACACGCTAGGCCCTTGTTCTTGCTATTTTGCACACGCTATGCCCTTGTTCTTTTTATTTTGCACACGCTAGGCCCTTGTTCTTGCAATTTTTCAACGCTAGGCCCTTAATCTTTTTATTTTGCACACGCTAGGCCCTTGTTCTTTTTATTTTGCACACGCTAGGCCCATGTTCTTGCAATTTTGCACATGCTAGACCCTTGTTCATTATATTTTGCACACGCTAGGCCCTTGTTCTTGCTATTTTGCAAACACTATGCCCTCGTTCTTTTTTTTTTTTTGCACACGCTAGGCCCTTGTTCTTGCAATTTTGCACATGCTAGACCCTTGTTCGTTATATTTAGCACACGCTAGGCCCTTGTTCTTGCTATTTCACGAACCCTAGGCCCTTGTTCTTGATCTTTCGCACACGCTAGGCCCTTGGTCTTGCTATTTTGCACTCGCTAGGCCCTTGTTCTTGCAATTTTGCACACGCTAGGCCCTTGTTCTTGCAATTTTGCACACGCTAGGCCCTTGTTCTTTTTATTTTGCACACGCTAGGCCCTTGTTCTTGCTATTTTGCACACGCTATGCCCTTGATCTTTTTATTTTGCACACCCTAGGCTCTTGTTATTGCAATTTTGCAACGCTAGGCCCTTGTTCTTTTTATTTTGCACATGCTAGGCCCTTGATCTTTTTTTTTTGCACACGCTAGGCCCTTGTTCTTGCTATTTTGCAAACGCTATGCCCCAGTTTTTTTTTGTTGAACACGCTAGGCCCTTGTTCTTGCAATTTTGCACATGCTAGACCCTTGTTCGTTATATTTTGCACACGCTAGGCCCTTGTTCTTTTTCTTTTGCACACGCTAGGCTCTTGTTCTTGCAATTTTGCAATGCTAGGCCCTTGTTCTTTTTATTTTGCACATGCTAGGCCCTTGTTCTTTTTATTTTGCACACGCTAGGCCCTTGTTCTTTTTATTTTGCACACGCTAGGCCCTTGTTCTTTTTATTTTGCACACGCTAGGCCCTTGTTCTTGCTATTTTGCACACGCTATGCCCTTGATCTTTTTATTTTGCACACCGTAGGCTCTTGTTATTGCAATTTTGCAACGCTAGGCCCTTGTTCTTTTTATTTTGCACATGCTAGGCCCTTGTTCTTTTTATTTTCCACACGCTAGGCCCTTGTTCTTGCTATTTTGCATATGCTAAGCCCTTGTTCTTGCAATTTTGCACACGCTAGGCCCTTGTTCTTTTTATTTTGCACACGCTAGGCCCTTGTTCTTTTTATTTTGCACACGCTAGGCCCCTGTTCTTGCTATTTTGCACACGCTATGCCCTTGTTCTTTTTATTTTGCACACGCTAGGCCCTTGTTCTTGCAATTTTGCACATGCTAGACCCTTGTTCTTTTTATTTAGCACACGCTAGGCCCTTGTTCTTGCTATTTCACGAACGCTAGGCCCTTGTTCTTGATTTTTCGCACACGCTAGGCCCTTCTTCTTGGTATTTTGCACTCGCTAGGCCCTTGTTCTTGAAATTTTGCACACGCTAGGCCCTTGTTCTTTATATTTTGCACACGCTATGCCCTTGTTCGTTTTATTTTGCACACGCTAGGCCCTTGTTCTTGCTATTTTGCACACGCTATGCCCTTG